GGGGGGGGGGGGGGGTCTCCAAGGCAGGAAAAGCCATCCAAAACCCGGCGAAAGGGGGATTCAGAAATGTTGGCAGTCCTGAGATAGGGTGGGGGGGGGGGTGCTTTCAAGGGGAGGGAACGAGCATACGCGTACCCTAAATATCACTAAGTGGGGGGGGGGGGGGCGGGCATCTCCTGTACATGATTGCACTTTTTAAGCGCTCGCGCGCTGACGCACTTTACGTCTGGGCTATAATAATACCTTGCAAAATAATGACAAATTATTCTGAAGTTTATGAAGTGCTTGTTCGCGCACGTCGCGCAACTATTCTTAATGATAGTGACATACTGTATACGTGTAGGCTATACAGTTATACATACATACAAAAATAACTAATTTCTCATGCATTATGCTGAAATTGAAACAATCACATTTTCTTCTTCTTCTTCTTCCTTTTTCTCTCTTTTTTTTGGTGGTAATATCAGGGGGGGGGGGATGTTTGTACAGGCCATCCCCCCCCCTACTTCAAGCCAGGGGGGATGCAGCCCCCCCCCCATCCCCCGGGATTTACGCCCCTGAATGATACACTTTTCGTCAGCAGTATCAGGATTATGAATACCCATACCATTATAAATGTCAGCATATTATTGAAATATGACAATCCTGGACGACCAATCAGAGCAACATCCAAAATCAAAATGTACTTTCTGCAAAGTACGGCCCATTGCTTAACTGCTTATACTATATAATGAAATATAAAATACATTTTGATATAAACCAGTTACACGCATCAAGCTCATTACATAATTTAATATCCACAATTAAAAAACAGTTTTTGCAAAGGACTTGGATATTTGTATTTTAAAACATATTTACCAGAAACAATGTGATGTCCATACCATGCAGGGACAGCTAGCTGAAGAAGAATTAAGCGGAAACGATACATCAAAACGTACCTACATTAGCCGGTTTGACATGCAGAACAGTAATATTCCGCTAAAAATAGAGCAATGGTCAAATTCAGCGTTCCAGACAATTTGTCTACCTGTGCTAAGGCCTACAGTAAGTTAACTTTGTTAACTAAACTATAACTACGTGCTGAGTAGTAGTTTAGTTAGACAGATAGATGGATATAGATCATCTATGACTAATGACCTCCTATGCATAACTAGTATCTCCGAAGCAAAAAGAAGGGTGCTACTACTGACCCTGCAAACTACCGTCCCATTTCCTTGACGTGCACATGCTGTAAGTTATTAGAGCATATCATAGACAGTAACATGATGCGACACTTGGCCAAGCATAACATCCTGGCTGGAAATCAACATGCCTTCAGGAAACACAGGTCGTGTGAATCTCAGCTCATCCTTACAACAAATGACCTTGCCAAGAACTTAGACAAAAATATCACCACAGACATGGCAGTGCTTGATTTTTCAAAGGCTTTTGATGTCATCCCGCACCAGCGTCTCCTCATGAAATTAGACTATTATGGTATTCGAGCAAATAATAAGAGATGGATATCTAGTTTCCTGACAAAGAGACTGCAACGTGTCTGTGTAAATGGTCAATGTTCCGAGTGGTTATCAGTCCTCAGTGGCACTCCACAGGGCACTGTATTAGGCCCTCACCTTTTTCTACTCCACATCAATGACATTCATGAAAAGGTTAACAGTACAGCACGACTTTTTGCTGATGATTGTTTACTCTACCGTCCCATCAAATCTGCTGAAGATGAGAAAGCTCTTCAACAAGACCTTGATACTATGGTCCAGTGGTCCAAGACTTGGGGCATGCATTTCAATCCCTCTAAATGCAAAACCATGCGTGTTTCAAGAAAGAGAACACCGGGTACTAAATCCTACAAAATCCTTGATGTTACCCTGGAGGAAACGAACCAGACCCGATACCTTGGCATCAATATTCAGAAAGACCTACGCTGGAATAGCCAGACTCATTATGCAACCGGCAAAGCCTCAAGGGTCCTTAACTAATTCCTAAGACGCAACTTCCATCACTGCTCCTAATGTTAAAGAAAAGTTGTATCTTACTCTTGTACGTCCACACCTTGACTACGCCACTGCAGCATGGGACCCTTATACAGCCAAAAACACCTATGCTGTCGAGAAAGTTCAACGTCAGGCTGCACGTTTTGTCACCAATAATTATGGATGGGACACCAGCGTTACCAAGCTACTCAACCAACTCAACTGGGGATCTCTTAAAGACAGAAGGGAAGCACACCGTCTTACCTGCCTCTTCAAAATGATCAAGGGACAACTCGACATCCACTACCAATCTCACACCAACCCTAAGCCAGACAGACGTAGACAAGGACACTCCAACCAATTTGAAATTCGCCACACCAACTCGGACGTCTATGCCAACTCATATTTCCCAAGGACTGTAAAGACATGGAACAACCTACAACAAGCAACCATCGACCAAACCTCCCCGCTCTCATTTAAAAATGCAGTTACTAAAGAACTTTTTTCCAAAATGTATTCGTCCACCCTCCCCCATGCACCTCCAGTCAAAACTCTTCTTCGGAGTATTTAGGAGGAAAATAATCCAAGATCCAAGAAAAAGTAACTAGACTAGACTAGGCTAGTCTTTAAAGGCACACGGTTGAATTTCGAGATATAGGTCTTGTTAGTGAAAGTTATCTTACTCTTTGATTGATAGTCTCTGTAACACCTGTAAGTCCTATACCAGCAAAACCATAATTATTACCCGGCCCAATGGTCAAAATTGGACTGTTTGGGATTGGTCTGCATGGAGTCAATGTGGTGGTTATAACAGTAATATTGTCTCGTATTATCTTAATCTTACCTGCATTGATTTGCACCACCGTTTACAAGCGTGTCGTGGCTATACTGATTGCATAAATATTATTACAGGCTAGTATATCACTGTGAAAGTTATGCCCATTTTATGTAGAAAAAGCAAAACATACCTGTTCGAGTCGGTCAATCGGCCTACGCACATCCGCCTATCACTTTTTAGGGTCTAAAATGTCAGCTCTAGTTTCATTTCTATAGTTACCGATTCTACTTTCAGTGGCGTATGAGGGTCCGGACAATGAGGACATCGATGGGCGTTGCCATCATGCAAGCGGGGAGAGCGGGGGGGGGGGGGGGGGGGGGGGGGGGGGGGGAGGGGGAGGGGAGGTAGTATTACTCGGTGTTCGCGTTGAAGCTGAATAGAGTGTTCAATTAAGTGTGACGTCATTAATAAACTATTTTTAGGGTTTCCAAATTTGAACTTTATTTTCTGAAAGAGCATCAAAAATAATGTCCAACTGTCGAAAACCAATATGACCATCCGAATAAATATATTTATAATAAGAAATCAGAGCAAAGTAAAAGTGAAATCCTATCGGATGGTCATAACATAATATCTCAGCCAATACTTTTTTTCTTTTCTTTATGTGATCTCAGCCAATACTTAACATATTCAACTGGTTTTCGACATAGGGACATTATTTTTTATGCTCTTTCGGAAAATGAAATTCAATTAAGAAATTATAAAAATAAATTTGTATGATGTCACGTGCTTCGGTACTCTATTAGGGCTATCGATTAGGTGTCGATGGGAGGTCCTTTTAACTTCTTTTCACGTTCCCTGTCAGGCTGTCACCCTCTCCCTTTCTTCATCCTTGTTGTTCTCATTTTCTCTCAAGTTGTATCCCCTATGACAGGCCTTCTCAACTGGCGGCGCGCGCGCCACTCGTGGCGCTTGCGGTCAGTCAGAGTGGCGCGCGGCTGTTCCAAAAAATTAATAAAAATTAAAAATTAAAAATTAAAGAAAGAACAACATTAACAAATTATATTTTAAAATAAAAAAACTCAGAAAAATCAAAAAGTCGCAGTCGAAGTTGAGCCCAAAATGTAAGGAAGCCATTTTGTTTGTTTGATTTTCACTTCATTTTGACATTTTCCGTGTTTATTTCACCAAAATAACTACATATAAATTAACTTCCAGTGTAGATTTTAGCCAGGAATTGTACTAATTATTTCACATCAATATGAAATTATGATTGATGTTTTATGGAACGAAAAGGTGTTTAAAATGCCACATCTGGGCCTTAAAAAAGCCCAAAAGGGCTTCGCCCCCTGGACCCCACCTGGTATCGGCTCGGTCGCTACGCTCCCTCGTAACACAGTCACCAGACATACAGGTTGGCACTTCAACCTCAATTCATTTTTGTTTTGGCGCTTCTAATAAACTAGTTGAGAAGGCCTGCCCTATGATTATGATGGAGAGGGTCACGGAGGTACATACCCCCTCCTCTCCCCTTATAAGCACCACCGATTAATTTTGCAAACCTGCAATCATAAAATGAAATCATTTCTTTCTTTTTCTGCTCTCATCCAAGGTCACCGGAATAAAATTTGATGGGTCAGGTTGTAAACTTAACTGTTATAAAATAAAGGTCAAGTTACACACTAAGAAATGACACAACTTTGAACCCTAAATATTTCCAAATAGCAGCAGATTGGTAGCCTCGGTAGGGGTGCAACTTTAAACGTGGCAGGGTGCATTTCAGATCCGTAATTTTGTTAGGGACCATAAACAACTTTTCGTCAGGCTTTGTTTATATTTTAGTTTATAAATAGTAGGAATTACACACCAAGCCCATTTGCATGTGATTTTCTATTACTTTTTCATCTCTCCCCCTTTCCCTTTTTTCTTCTTTCTTCTTAATTTCTTTTCTTCTTTTTTTCACCCCAAAGTTATGTCACTTGTTTGTTTGCTTCTTTGATCGATTATTTGTTGTTTCTTTCTTTCTTTTTCTCACCTGAAAATTGTTTTTCTTTAGTTGCCCTATTTGTAGGCCTATAGAGTATAGCTATAGGCCTAGAGGCATTGAGTGAAATGCAAGGTGTATTCCCGATTTTTCTGCGTGTGCCGCCGTTGTAGGACATGAGCGAGCGCACCCTCGATCTCGCTCGTAGCGGCGCGCGCGCTCGCAATCAAGTAAATTTCATTTGTACACAAACAATACGTCGGTCCCGCCCATACATTCCTGACGTGGTGAGTAACATAAGAAAAGCTGTTAATGCAATGGAATTCTGTATTTTAATCAAACTCCGTACTGAGCGTGTGAATTTCAAATAGAAGACAGATTAGTAAGAAAGTAGAAAAAAGGTACGGAGTTCTAGGTGATTGTCGTGATGTCGTGGCTTTGCCTTTGTCGGACTCGACGACGCTTCGCGACTCTTCGATTTTGAGTTTGACTCCGAGTTTTGTGTGATGATTTATTAACTGAGTGAGTCACGTTGATGAATTGAACGATCTTTCAGCCTTTTGTTTTGAATTTAAGAGTGAAACGCACAGTGAGAATAAGACCCTTAAGAGGTGATGAAAGATGAGTGATAATTATGATGATGACTGAATGATAAAGAAGAAATAGCGTACTGAATTAGAATAGACCTATGTGAATAATATTATTACACCTGTCGGCTTTCCAAGGTGAAGGTGGTCCACAACAAGAATTTAAAACTGGGAGCAACTTTACTTTAGAATACCCCACCGCAAAAGTTGAAAACAGGCGCGTAGCCAGGGGGGGCGGTTACCCCCCCAAAAAAAGAGAGAGAAAGAGAAAAAAAAAAGTAAGAGGACGTAGGAAGAAAAAGGGAAAAGGAGTTGAGAACGATATACGAATCGTCTTCTTTCTCTAATAATTTAATGAAACGTGAAAGCTTTCGCGCTTTGCGCGGAAAGGGATTAAGGATTAAATTAGGATTAGGAATTGGGAAAGGTACAACGAATCGTCTTCTTTGTCTAATAATACGTCAAAGCTTCCGCTCTTTAATGAAACGTCAAAGCTTCGCGCGAGAGGGGGGGGGGAGGGAACAGAAATCAGACAAGGATTAAGAAGTCGAGAACGGTACTTTGAGTCGTCTTTTTTCTCTAATAAATTAATGAAACGTCAAAGCTTTTGCGCTTCGCGCGGGAGGGGGACTGAATACAGATAAGGATTAAGATTTAAGAGTCGAGAAAGGTACAACAAATCATCTTCTTTGTCTAATAATACGTCAAAGCTTTCGCGCTTTGCGCAGGAGGGGCGGACTGAATTCAGACAAGGATTGCGAGTCGAGAAAGGTACAACGAATCGTCTTCTTTCAAAACTCCCCCTTCCCTGCATCCACCCCCCTAGGGAGCAAGCTGCACGCACTCTATAAGTGATTCGCGTGCTCACTACTGCCCCCCCCTAAAATAAAATCCAGGCTACGCGCTTGGTTGAAAAGACGTTCATAGGTTAACCAATAATTTATCAATGAATCTAAATATAAAGACTCATCCCTAAACCAGAAGAAGAAGAAGAAGAAGAAACCTAACCCCAAATCTAACCGTAAGGCCTAACTTTGACCCTCAGTCAGTTACCCTACCTATATACTATAGTATAGACTACACTATATAGGCATTGGAAGTTCATTTACACAATAAATAAAGAAGCTAAAGCTGATGGAGTTGTGTAATTTTGGACCATGTACATGTAAATGATGTATACTATACCTAGACGTTATGTGTCCCGAAAGGTTGTGTAATAATGTGTAGACTGACAGTTCATTTAGAACAGCAATTTAAAGAAGTTCACAAGCAATATTTCCAGAGCTACCATTACCAAGTGTCATGCATTATGCGTGACATCATGCATTTAAAAAAAAACGCTATACGTGTGTTATTATACCCTCGTCCGCACACCGAGTCATGAAAATGTCACGCATAGCTGATCTTTGAACTTGGCGTCTCTGTATTTCGTAAATCTTTAAAGACTGATGTTACAGAGCTACCAAGTATCACGCATTAGGCGTGACATCATGCATTTGAGGGTCTGAAAATGCTCTTACGCATGACGCGCGCGCTAGATTTTGAAAAAACGCTATAGGCCTACCTTATACGTGTGTTATACCTCGCACGCGCTCTCGCGCGCCGAATCATGAAAATGTCACGCATTGCCGATCTTTGAACTTGGCGTCTCTGATGTTACTGTTAGACAATATTATATTTATAAAGGACAGTAATCCATGATGGTTAGTGCTATTTGATGAACATTTTCAGTTATATTGAAGGCAAAAGAGACGTCTTTATTAAATGTTTGTTAAGTGTCCGGACACCCAATCCCCATCAAACTATTACTAAGGGTCTTAGATGCACGCTGGAGCAAATGTTTGGAAGCATTTTCAAACACATTTTTTTTTATGGTGAATATTTCATGAATGACTTTGATTGAGAATTAATTAATCTGTTGCCGATTTTCAAACCTGTGCAATGAAAAATTGCAAACCTGTTGCCGTTTTACATGTTTTAGCCCACAGTGGACCACCATACCTGTCACTTGGCTTGGAATTCTTATGCCTTTTAATTGACAAGTTTTGCGAAACGGGTCCTAACGTTAGGCAGAAAAATATGTCTGATTTGAGGAGTTTTCAAAACATATTTTTTCTTTTTAAACAAGCTAATTACTTCCAAATTTGATAATGTTTTATACCAATCTTGAAATATACTAGTAAAATCTGGATGTACTTGTAATCCGGGATGTGAATAATTATTCGCCAGTACTATCAGACTAGAACGTATGAAATATTGGGGAGGATGCTTAAGGATGGTGTCGTTGTAATCTGGTTCATTCACTTGACTCTCAATCAAAGGCCAAGGGTTGAGGTTTGAATCCCAATGTAGCACTTATTTTCTATGGCAAGACATTAATCCATATTTGCCACTCTTCACCCTGGTGTACAGTACATGTACATAATTGTAAGTTGGTATCTGACAATTGCTGCCAGGGTATTAGAAATTGCAGGAATCTCAGAAGACAAAAAGTAGCATTGATGCTGATTATTTAATATGTAGTGGATAAGTCATCAGACTGTGAATCACAGGGTCCGCAGTTCGAGTCCTGCCCTGGCTCTAATGTCCTTGGGCAAGACATTAATCTACACTTGCCACTCTCCACCCAGGTGTTAAATGGGTACCAGTAGGAAGGAATTCCTTAAATGCTGTGAGCATCGAAATCGGCAGCCTAGCATATCCAGGTAATGTTGGAGCGCCTTGAGGACCTTGCAAGGTCGATACGTGTGCTATTTAAGAATCCAATATTATTATTATTATTATTAATTATGTATCTGCATTGTGATTTTTTTCAGATTTTACATCTCAACTGATCGTATGATCAAGTATTCAAAGTGAAAGAAGATGGCAGTCGTGGCAGGTGAGTGAACTCATTATTGACCAAAAGTTTAATACATAAAGTAGCACATTTAATTCATCAGTTTTTATGTCGGTTTAATAAGAACATACATGTACATCAGCGAGTCTGGTCAGGTTAGGTAAATATGTGCCCCCCCCCCCCCAAATAAAAAAAAAAAAAAACAGCTCAAAGACTGATTTCATAATGCTGAATATTTATCTTCTTCTTACTTTCACAGATCATGTTGAAATGACTGTAACCAGTACAGCTTATTACTGATCAGTTTTATGAAATGGAATTCATATGGAATTGCTCTTTGTTCTGTATTACAGTATGAAAGAAATCTTGTGCCACCACCTATTAAAGTGAAATTGCTTCTAAGACATTATGTAGGTCTACATGTGTACATGTATTTTCACTTTTTTTCATATTTATGTTCTACAGACACACAGAGAGCAGTGAGCGTCCTGCAGGGTCTCCAAGGGAGACTGGTAGCTGCAGGAGAACCAGAGCTAGGTGAACAGTTTGCTTCCATGATAGACCTCCTGGCCAGCCCTTCATTCAGGCACCTTCTCAACCTTCAGCAGTCAGTACGTGAGCTCAAGCACCACATCGACAATGGTCCTCCGGGTCAAACGGTGGAGGATTTCAGCTTCACCCGCGAAGGACAGCTGGTGGTTCCAGAACAAGAGTCGGACCACGAACCTGAGCAGCCGTACCGCGTCTCCATCGGCCCCCAGCATCCGTATGCCTTTGAGAACAAGATGTTCGAAGGGGACGAGGCAGTCATGATGAAGAGTGTGGTTGCGCCCGTCGCATCGGCTCCAGGTCCTCCCAGCGACGATGACGATGACTCGGAGGACCAGGATGAGCTGATGAGGAGCAGGTCCATTCCTCTAGAACAAGCCAACGAAGACCTGGAGCAAGCTCTCAGGGAACTAGCCCTCGGTAGAGAGGTGTTGAGCATTGAATTGTTGAAGTCGGAAGGTCGAGGTCTAGGATTCAGTGTGGTAGGACTCAAGAGTGAGAATCAAGGAGAGCTGGGGATCTTTGTGCAGCAGATACAGAGGAATGGTGTCGCAGCAAGGTGAGTCCATTCAAATGCATTATATATTGTTCAATAAATCACTGTTGTAATAGAGACCTACAATGTAGGGTCCCGGGACCAAGAACAACTACATACTGTAGGAAACGTTGATTACATTTGTCTCAAAGTTCTTAGAGCAAGATGTGTCTTTCTATCTTGGTCTATTTTACCATACTTGCTACCAGAAATGAATTGACTCTGCTAAACATGGCTCTTGCTTAAATTTTTGTTTGGGTTGCCTGCCTTGTGATGTACATGTACAGTACATTGTATTTAACCCTGTAAGTTGGAGCTACATGATTGGATCAGATGATCAAATCAGTGGTTTGCAGAGATGCGAACCAGTACGATTAAATTGTATTTAGTATGACAATAAGAGTGAAATATGATCTTAAAATCTTTGAATATACAATTTTTCATCTTTTTTTCAAAAAACCCCAAAACAATCATAAAAACAGCGGAATCGCATAGAAGCATGTACAAATAAACCCCCCGCAACCCCAACAAAAACTTTGCTTTACAATTTTCTCATTAAATTTAATGATAGAGCAAACATTTTTCTGAAATTTTAATGGCCTGTGGCCAGTGGTAGTGTCATGTTTTCGTGAAAATCTGATTTTTCTCTCCAAAATCCTATTTTTTGGGATACTCAGTCTGTTTTTTTGTGTCAAGAGGTTGGGATCTCTGGGTTTGGCTCCCGATATCTGTATCGGATCGGCAGATTGGGAGGGAAATCTCATGATTTTTTAAAAAAATCTGGCTCCAAACATTGCCCAAATTTGTCAATTTTAAGCACTCTTATACCTAAAATCACTCATACCTTGAAAAAAATGTTCTCATTCAAAGTTGTTGTAGTCCATGTTTAAAGCTATTTTCATGCTTGTCAACAACAAAAAATTATCGTTAGAAAAAACTGAAAAGACGAAAATTTGAAAGTTTTAGGCTAACAAATACTAAACAAACATGCAAAGCTGGGATTATTTTGTCAGTTGGAGTTGCTGTAGACCATGTTTGTTGATATTAAGTGGCCTTTCATGATTTTGAAATGATTATTATTATAGTCTAAAGAAAAGAGGCAAAACAAGCCTCCCTATACTATGAACCTCAGAATTGTCATGAAACAATGATTGTAATAATATTTTGTTTTGTGACCAGGCAGCAAAGACTTTAAGATGGTCAATACATGTACCGGTACTTTTGAGGCTTGCCTACATGTAGTTACTAATTGGTTAGCGTCACCTAGACAACTGCTTATTTCAAGCTCTGCTAAAGAAGGCTAAGCTTGCAATATGCTGTACATGTTCACAACACTCGTTTGTGTGGTATTTGTATACATCCCACATAGGATTCACACACCAGTATGTACAGTACAGTACATGCCATAACATGATTTAATTCCATCTGTTACTCTCTAACTGGCGTATGTACATTGCAAGTGGCCTGCCCTATTAAAGTTAAAACTGATGGTTATAAAGACATGTAATACAGGCTATGCATGCAAAGTCAAAAGAATTACAAAATATGCACGTCTGTATACAGGTCATAATAAAATGCAGCGTGACTGTTTCATCTGCTCATGTAGGTAAGACATATTAAATAAGTAAAAATTATGAGTAAAAATCAAAACCAAGGAAATTTAAAACTGTAATTTAGGTCAAGTCCAAAGATCTAAATTCTTTCTCATGAATGCATTTTAATACCAAAAATGTACTTGTACATAACACCACTGGGGGGTGGGGAGGGGCTGGTTGCAAGAACTTTTACTTCTTGAGTATTTTGCAATGATAACAAAAAAAAAAAAAAAAAAACTTTTGTACAACCAATTGCCTTCATTGATCATAGGCTATGTTCAATCTATTCTAGACATGCTACAATGTGCTTTGTTAGATTAAATCTTTTTTTTTTTTGGGGGGGGGGAGGAGCAAAATTTTAATAACTTAAAGATCATTGGCTGTACCTTACATGTACATTGTACATGTAAGATGAATTAGTAAGGCCTAATGTGAATTGATTGGCCATCAAAGCACAGCTACAATGTACATGTACCTTTAATCAAATTTTGAGACCAGCATGTCTCACGTTGCATTCTAATTGCAAGTTTGCAACTGCCTGATGTTTATCCCGTTGGGAATAAAGAATAATTTGTTAGTTCCCATGTAAACCATCCCTCCTCTTTTAATTGCTAGTTTGCAAAGAAATTACATGGATCCATTAATATTTCTTCTCCTGGGATTATGTATTTGAAATTAGTACACCACGGAAATGTGAATGTGTTTACGCGGTGCTTGTTTATAAGCATGAAGCCCTGTTTTTATAAAACTGATATTAATAACAAATGCTAAATTTCTACGACAAATTATAAATATAAAAATATAAAATGCACTACCGGTAGATAGAAGATGATTGATACCCCAATTAAAATAAATTGAATTAAATTAAATTGATCTAGACTACATATATATACAGGGTATACGAAAATTGCTTAGCTAATCAGTGGCCACATGCATGGATTACACTGATTGCAGAATATTACAACAATTTGATAGTAATTAATAATAAAAACAAGAGTAGACAAGCTGCATGACAATGAATAAAATTGCCACTAAGCCCCTTAATACTGCATAGTGCATACCGGTACTTAAAACAATCCAGCATGATTGTGTTTTTCTAGAAATCAAATTCCATTACCAGAACTCTAGATTAGCGGTAAATTATTTCTCAATCAATAAACAATGTAACACACTAGTCCTGTACATGAACATACATGTATGTTCATCATTATAGGCAGTGTGGATCTACATGTATTGTAGCTAGCACAATGCAATTATTATTCATCAAATGAGTTGGTGCTGAGTTAGGGAGAATAACATTTCTCATCAACAATTTTTAATTTTCATAATGAATCCCGAATAAAATGACTAATTAATCATGCACTGAACAGTGATGCTTACGTCAGAATGTGCATTTAGTAATACATTGTATTATTCTGTTTTTATAATCACATTGTGAAATAATATCATTAACTTAGTTTTTACAATTGGCTTTGGAAAACATTATCTCCTTGTCGTCAATGAAAGCAATTTAAATGAAAGGAATCAGGCCTGATAAAAACCCGATTTAAATCGGTTTCCCGATTTTTTTATTTTTCCCGATTTTTTCCCGATTTTTATTTTTCTTCCCGATTTAAAAAAAAAAAAAAAAAAAAAAAAAAATCATTTTTTTTTTTTTTTTTTTTTTTTTTTTTTTTTACCAATTTTTTTTTCCTTCCCTATTTTCTCCTGATTTTCTCGATTTCCCTCTTATTATCTCTATTCTTCCTTATTTTTCCCCCAATTTTCCCAAGTTTGTCTCAATTTTCTTACTCGAAAGGGGGGAATGTTGTTAGATGCCATTTTTTCCCCGCGAATCGTCTTCTTTTTTTTTTACTCAAGGGGGGCGTGGTTGAGGGGAAAAAAAAAACCTATTTTTTTTTTAGTGCTCACTATCACCCCTGGGAATTAAAAATGAAGCATTTAGCAATATTATTCTGTTTTTATAATCACATTTTGACATACAGGTAATATCACTAGCTTTCTTTTTCGAAATGGCTTTGGAAAAACATTACCTCCTTGTTGTCAATGAATGCAATTTAAATGAAAGCAATTTAAATTGAAAGGAATTAAAAATGAAGCCTTGAAAGCCCAAAAGTCAAATTCCTGTGAAAACAAATGTGTTTCAAGACTATCACGAGGTGACTCTTTAATTGTTTTAAATCGTATCTCCAGCGACTGGATCACAATTAGTTGATGTCAATGACATTCTTGTCGCTGTTAAGGACAGATGGGGTGTTCGGAGTAATTTCTAATCCCTTCGTTCAAGGAGAAAAAGCCCTGAGAGCTTTGACATTGTTCATTAATTCTCGTTATTTTTGACGCGAGTTCTGGTTATTCATGGGCGGGGATTAGCTCTGGATATTGTCGTCAGTCAGCAATGTCTGAATCAGGACGGTCTCGCTATTTATGGGGTCAGAGCCCGCCAAAATGAACTTAATTACCGACCAGATACGCATCTGCGCTTCGTCCAATAACTTCTAATTAGGGATACTAAACGTGGTATCCTGTTAAAGATTTGTCCAAAGTTTCATCAAAAGAAGCAACCAATAATTGAGTAGTCGCTGGGAGTTGGACTTCCAAAGTTAGTACAACTGGCTTGCCTGATTGTTACTTGCAGTTCTAGTTTATAAGGGGTTTAACTGTATACCCAGGCATCTTTAAGGAAACTTGTGCAACTTTACTTTGAAAGGTCCTGCGATTCTTTTTATAGTTGAAATATTTGGATGATCCCAACTTGATCAGGGTTCAGTCGAGTCCAAGACAGCCAGAAAAGTGAGAATTAATTCTTTTTTTTCTTCAACATTTTAAACAGTTAAATATTTTTCCATTCATGAATGTGCTACACTTATTGGTTCAGGATATTTGTACTTAATGAAACATCTGTTTGGAGCCAGTTGTTACGTTTCTGAAAAGATTATGTAACAAGCACATCAAAATACATTATGCGTCAGCAAGTTGTAATATCCATTGGATCTAAGTTTGAGGCCCAAAATTCATTGCATTATTTTCAATGTTCACCGTACATGTAGGTGCTGTGACATTTCCTGTTGGTTTTATTTTGTTAAAGATATAGGGTTAGGTCATGGGTTGCAAAATGGTTTTGGTTTCAAACATACATGTATGTGTAGTATTGGTTACTCTGTGTACCCAGAAATGTCTAATTTTGAAGTGCTCAGAGAATTCAGAACAGTAGGTTTAGAGGTTTAGACAACAAATCTTTAGTAAATTATTAAATACAATTTTGTTCTGTTCACATCAATAAGTGCTGTGCTGACTTCTTATAAATTAATCATTGTAACAATTAATAATTATGAATGTACATTTCGAAAGTTCAATTGATTTAAACATTTGCAGTTCTCATTTTATTTTTGAAAGGTTCTTCAAAATCAGTGGGATATACGGTGCGTTCCAGAAAAAACAAAACCGAGAATTATCGATGCTTTATCATACCTTAGTTATATAATTAATAACTGACACATATTTGAAAAGTTTAGATCCTCCTCTTTCATTTGATGCAACTCATTTGATGCATATTTCATGCATGAGTGAGTAAAATTAATTTGAAGAGAGAGAAACCCCAAAAAAGTCGTTTGGCGGACGGTATCTGAATTTCAAAGAGAAAATTACATTTCTCGAAAGCTGAGTTTCTGCCCTTTCATACATGTATGACACCTCAATAAGGATAAATGAGCTAGGAATAACAAAGTTCTGTTTGTTTAAAGTAGTGCTTGCATTTCCATAATGTTATCAAACAAATTCGTTTTCACTGGCTGCCTGCCATAGCAACAAGCAGAATTGACAAACTCTGTTTTGTTGACGATCCAATCAGCCATGCATGAAGACTTTCGTCTTTCTCTTTGAAATTAAGATACCGTCCGCCAAATGACTTTTTGGTTTCCTCTCTTCAAATTGATTTTAATCACTCATGCTCGAAATACGCATTATATGAGTTGCATCAAATGAAAGAGCAGGATCTAAGCTTTCCAAATATGTGTCGTTTATCAATTATAATTGTGATTAAATTATGATAAAACATTGATAATTCTCGGTTTCGTTTTTCTGGGACGCACTGTGAACTTGTGTGATTCTAAAGAAAGAGTTTAGTTTTGTCTGACTAATACCTTGTAGTATTAAGAGTGTGTCTCTTTCATCACTCATTGTGGATTAGACTGGAAAGGAAATTAAGTCATACATTGGTCACAAAGTCTTGCTTTGAAGAAGCAGATTACCAAGATTAGTGCACATCCAGTTTTTCCTGAATCCCAAGACACATGTACATGTACAACTACAAGAAAGCTTTTGATATGGATCAATTAATAATAAATATTATCGATCCCTTAATGCATGTAGCCTATGAGTGTAGTTACTGTAGTGGTCCTGTAATTTGAATTAATTTTCAATGGTCACTTTAATACTCACTTGGCACAAATGTCCAGTTGCTTTTTGTGACAGATTTTTTATTGTTCACAAGGAATTAATAGAAATAAGCATTTTTAAGTGAAAATATGGAGAATTTCTATTTGCAATTCAACATTTTACTGGTCTCTCATAGCAATTATTCAGAGTGGAATACACGTTGTAATACCTCTGCTCTAAAATGACAAAGTGAAAAATATTCTCAGAAAAAAATGAAACGCTGATAATACCAAAATCAACCCAAAAATACCTACTTTTAAATAAACTACATATGGACAAAACAGCATGAGGAATGTATTTCTGCATTTGAAGTGTGTCGCACGTGGTTGTAAGTTTCGTTTTAATGATTCCTATTTTTGGCTTGAAATTCCTTTTTTTTTTGCCATCATGGTTCCTTTTTTGGGTCGCACAAGGTTGGCAGCTCTGGTTTCTCGTCATTTTATGTACACATAAAAGTGTTAAAACTCTTGTACATATCCTTTTAAACAGAGACGGCAATCTGCAAGAGAGCGACCAGATTCTAGCGATCAACGGCGCCCTCGTTGACTCGAGCGTGTCGCACAAGCAGGCCATCGGCATGCTCCAGAAGGTCAAGGATAAGGTCCACCTCATCGTGGCCCGAGGGGGGCTGAACATTCCCACCCCCTCCAAGGAAGAGCCCAACAGCAGGTCTATGGTGGCCAATGGACATCAGAATGACTTGAGTGGGAATGGGGAGCACGGGATGGGAATGGAAGAGCCAGGCATGCAGGGAGCCATGATGGGGGTTGGGGGCGTGGCCTCTCTAAGCACCAATCAGGAGCTGCTGATGCAGATGGAGCAAGAACCAGATGATTATGCTCTAGTAAGTTATTATCTTTTTTTAAATCACCTGGGATTGTAGACTGAAAATAAAATGATCTTTTATAATTAGTGAAAGGGTGTCAAATTCATATTACAACTTTTCATTGTCTTTTACAAACCCATTTATTATGTACACAGCCATATATACACAGTCAATAACCAATAACATATCTTGCCCTTTAGATTTGACGTGACAATTCAAACATCTGTCTAAATTTATTTTTTTTAATAAAAAATATATACGCTACTTGGTTTGAAGGAGTGAAGTTTAAAAATTTCACTGTGTTTGTTTATAATTGATGAACAATATCAAATCATCAGCGCCTCTTAATGCCCACAATTCAGCTCATAATGATTGTTTGTTGTATGATCATTAGGGTATGAATGTTCAACTTTGAATTTGTTTGTGTGCTTTTGAGAGGGTAATAGATTAATTACATGTAGTAATATTGAAATATTTTTGTTCACGATAGACACAATTAAGGCCAAAATGAATGAGACATTGTATCTGTATTCTGTAACGGAAAAATAATGTTACAGAATATTCGTACTGCTTGCATTATTGTCAAAATTATATTTGCTTTGTATGGGTAATTAATGATTTTATTCTTATCATTCAAGTAGAAGCTTTTGGAATTTTTCTAACTCTGTGAATATAACTCAGTCATTGCCTTTTCATATTAAAAATAGGTCATGAGGTGAGAAATACATGTAATATAGAGTCTTTTTCATGTTATATAGTGAATTATGATAGGACATCATTAGCTCATGCATTTAAAAAAAAATGTCACATTTGGAAGGGAAGGACTAAATAATTTCTCTCTAGAAAGCTATTTAAAAAAAAATGGCTTTAAAAATGTAAAATAAATATGAAAAAAATTATAATAAAATACTTAGTTATTCTAGGAAATCTCAGTTTTACTCCAGCGAAACCCCCCCCCCCCCAAAAAAAAACTCTTGTGAGCAATCGGTTATTTTGACTCTGTTTCGTTTATTACACAGCCGCTTTCGGGCGACCTAGACCAGTCCATGCTTGCGCCTAACATTGAGGTCATCGACCTCTACAACAGGGGGTCTTAGTTATTCTAGGAAATCTCAGTTTTACTCCAGCGAAACCCCCCCCCCCCCAAAAAAAAACTCTTGTGAGCAATCGGTTATTTTGACTCTGTTTCGTTTATTACACAGCCGCTTTCGGGCGACCTAGACCAGTCCATGCTTGCGCCTAACATTGAGGTCATCGACCTCTACAACAGGGGGTCAGGCCTCGGTTTCGGTATCGTTGGGGTTCGCGACATCGGCATCGTCGTCAAGACCATCGTACCTGGTGGAGCCGCAGAAGAGGTAGGCAACCATTCAATTTTGATCTAGAAATAGATGGATAGACCGTTTCTTGAATTTATTCAAATTTTACACATCGACACCTTTAACATAGATTGTTCTGGAATTTTACTGACCCAAATGTTAGCCTGAAGCTTTAAAGGGATCCGGTAACTTTGTCTCAGATTCTGAAACAAAATTCTGGATTTAGCTCATGATGCAATGATAATTATAAACTTTTAGGTCAGTCAGGAACCCCATGACTTTTACAAGCCGATCGCCTGTCTGATTATCAAGATATTTTTGATTGGAATTACAAATTTTGAAAACCGTTCGCCTGACGGTTTTCATAACACTACAGTCTATTGGGGAAAACGAGTATGGTAAAACCGGTCACTCAAAGATTTTTTACTTTTTTGAGGCACTTCTTGACCATTTTGAAGCGCAATTTTTTTAGGGCTTCAATATTACACCATATTAAAGACACTGATAACACGTAGGGCCGTGTATCTCAGATTTAATATTGTTAAACGATCCCTTTAATATGTAATGTAGCAACAAGCATTGAGGCAGATTGATAGGCAGACCTGAATACGAGACTAGAACTAATATACTCAACCAAAACCAAAGAAAATAATCCCCCCCCCCCCCACAATACTTCTTTACAAATCTTGAAATATTTGATTAAATATGTTCATTCAAAACCCAAGACACAAACTCGTTTTATTTTTTTTTTAAATATTTATGTTTTATTATTGATCAGTCATAATCAAATTTTTACAAACAATTATAGGATTAATTACAGTTAAAACAACACAAAACACAAAAACACAGCAGTCATACATTATACCATAAGATAATACAGTGAAAAGCTAATGTCTACTCTTAACTCAACCGGGGGGGGGGGGGGGGGGGGGGGGGGGGGGGGGGCTCGGGGAAACAGGTTCCTGTAATTCCAGCATGAACAACCCATCAAGACACAAACTTCACAAAGTATGCAGTACTTAATTTTTTTTAAAGAAAGCTGAATTTCATTCTAGAGTTTGGGAGAAGGAATCATGAAACTGATCATCATTTGTAGCACACTAATCACTGAATCGTTATGTGAATCTAGGTCATGGCTCTCGTTAAAGTATGCAATTAAACTATGATTGTTGTTGATAAGTTCATGTACGTGGGTGTACCCAAGGTAGTGATAAGGATCTTCATGAACGGACGGAGGCTGCATTCTTTAGTTGTGAGTACAGTGTACATACTCTCAATGGGCAAATCCACATGTACAGTCTAAAGATTTTGTCACAAGATTAAATAATTTGAATAAAGAGACAGCGAAATGAAAAATGTGCACATATGATTATCATAACACAGTATACATAAAAATTGGTATTACATTTTCAGTTTTGAAATTGTTAAAATACTGTACATGTAGTGGTAATATATGTGGTTACAGAAAATATATCATGATAACATAAATGACAATTTTGATATAATAAACAATATTTTCAATCATGTACAGTAAGATATCAAAACAAGTATTGATAGATCCATGAATGTCAGACATTGTATGTTGGCATTCATTTTGTTTAATACTTGTGTTACAATAAATTAGTGAAACTGTTTTCTTTTTCTTTAAAAGTACATAAATGATCCATCATGTGTTGAAAATCATTATTCCCAGCCTTTTGACAATGCAGTAGATTGAGCAGTAGGCTACCACTGTATACCGGTATGTGCATTGAAGCAAGGAACAAGTGCATTGTATTTCTTTCTACCATGTAGCAGTATGTCTCCCAATAATAATAGGCATTCCATTCTAATGAGGTAATAGTGTAATTGTGCTCCAAAGGTCACCTGTTTAAGGGCGCGTTCATGCTTGATTTTGACGGCCAGAATCAGGCATCTGTTACGCGTTTAGTTTAAAACACGATTGCGTTCATGTTCACTTTTGTAGAATCACCGAAAAACAGCGATCACGTTCGCCGATCGTAAACTCACAAAAAGATGCTTTTACAATTTGTAAACGCGTTTAAATGGGGTCAACGCACTGACCTTTAGTGAGTCTACTAGCATGCGCACACAGGTTTGCGAATCCAGCTGAAGGCCACCCAAGGAGAATTGCCTGGAGAAGTGAGCATGAACAGTGCACCGTGGAACTGCGATTACGATGAGCGTTACAAATCGCTCATTCTGCCTTCAAAATCAAGCATGAACGCGCCCTAATACTAACAGGTTCAATAGTCAAGAGCAAATCATAATGGTATGAGTGCTTGTTGTGTTGATCACAACTCAGTGCGCATAAGACATGTTTGGTTTTGCTCTCATGTAAACATGAGTACCCAGCTAGTACCTACATGTACATGCGTACAATTGTATGTACAGTGAGAAAGAGCATGTAAAATTAAAATGTACCTAGCAGAGGCCATGCAAGACCATGTACATATATATTAATAATTCATACAAACTTTTAGTTGTATGAAGATAAAATGAGTAGGCTGTGTTTAAGCCTTGGAAGACTACTGTATTTTTCATGGATTTCGCATTAAGAATGGCAACGCGAATTTAAAACCCAGCGAAATATGTTTTGGTGTCGCTCAGCGCGAAAAATTCAACATGCGAAAATAACAGCGTTTACAGTTGGCCAATAACAATCTAATTCTTTTAAATGATGATTTGATACCCAGTGTTTAACAGCAGGAGGTAGAATCGCGATTATAAGATGAATTGATTTCACATATTATAAGTATTTCACATCAAGGAATAAAATTTAAAAGGCTGGAAAGGCTGGTATGAATATCAGTCAAGAAATTAAGTTGAAATATCCCAAATTCAAAGGAAAATAGGAAGACATGAAAAGTATTATAATAGAAAATCTAGTGAGCTGATTTAAAAGCATTCTTCACTAAGATCGAACCAAAAATAGCTGCATGTGATGTATTTGTAGCATGCCTTTACATGTACTGTAGTAGCGTTTGCAACCGGATTTGTAGGGTAAACTCAGGAAAGGGCTAAGATTTGATAGAGCTGTAAATCTTGGATTTAGTCACTGTCTGTGTTGTTCCAGACCAAGGTGATGAGTGAGATTCAAGCATCAGTGTCGTCAGCTGCAGGACCTGATCGAAGGCTTGATAGATCTCCCCTTCCTTTATACTCTAAACTCTGTCTTCCGTGAAAGATACACTGTCTTCCCATTGCCACATGTAGAAGTAGGATAAGGTAGTTATTATTAAGTGTTTTACATACTTGTATCGTAATCTTCATAAGTTCAGAATATCTAAAACAATTTTGTCTTTTTATCAGATTTCCCCTAAATTTCACTGATATTCATGAATTGTGTTCTACTCTTTTATCATTGAATTGCATATTTTTACTATTTTGAGTCAGGTACTCAGAGCTGCCAACTAGTACGGATTTCCCGTAATTGGTACGGAAATTAACGACCATTACGGAATGTTGTCTCAAATTACGGATTTTTTTTTTTTTTTTTTTTTTTTTTTTAATTTTTTTTTTTTTTTTTAATTTTTTTTTTTTTTTTTTTTAATATGATTTATCTTAACGAGTGCTGTGAAGTATGGCGGCCTCCAACACTCGCTGAGAAAGACGGAAAAGTATCAAGTATTCTATTAATAGGAGCCATTTTTCATGGAAAACTGTTGTGATGACCTGAAACTCAATATTTAACAACTTTGTGTGAGTAAATTAGTCACCAAAAATTTCAGATAATCATGCGTCCGCGCAGTGTTGGCGTGCCGTTTTTTTTAGATTCATAGCGCAGCATAGGAAATTACTGATTTATACCTAAAATTACTGATTTTGAGCCTTGTGATTACTGATTTTTTGTTCTGGAGGTTGGCAGCTCTGGGTACTGTATGTCCAGATTTCAAGAGTTCACCTGAATGTCAAATTACCTGGTTAAAAGGATAAACACACCGTACAGTTTATATTTATACTTTTTATAGGTGTAATTACTGTTGAATTATTTAAGAAGGTCTGTGTAAGCCCTAGAATAAAAATTGCCTTCACTTCCTTGCTACAGCTTTGTGGGTATTCTATTTAAGAAATGAGACGAGGGTCATTATTTATACCCAGAGGTCTTTTTCCCAGCTAGTCCAGAATCAGATTGCTTGCTTGCTGTTCCTCATTCGCATCCAAGCCCTTGAGCCACGCACTACAGCTCTCAAGAAAAGCGCGACAATAAAGCCAGAGCTAGGGGATAAACACCTGCCAGAAAGCGGGTCGATCTTTGAATATCATGAATTTTTCAGGTTTAACCAGCTTTCGTCCTTCCAGCATCACTCCATCAAACAAATCCACTCCTTGCACTTGGAGTTACACAATGTTAAAGGCCTAAATGCTTATTCAGATATGAAGAAACAAACACAGCGTTGTTTTTTGGGGTTTTTTTGCGGCAATGGACTGCATCATAACTTTGTAAATGAATGGCAGCTGTGCAGAACAGAGGTCCTGCGTATTCACTTAGCTCAACATGTGGTATAAGATACAGAAATGTGAGGCATATATACTTCATCAAGAAAAAAACTTTGCAATTTATTTTACATGTTATAAAACCGCAACAGTGTTTTTTAGCAGTGGTTTTACGTTTGCCGTGCCATATTGGAACAAGCCTTAAGGTGGTTTAGCATGCCTTATGTGAACAAGGCTGAAGGTTCTACACTAGCAAGGGAAGTTGGGTGTCATTACTACATTTAAGTCTGTAAGCTTCTCAGACAATTTAGAAGTCTTTCACCAATCTGTTATTTTCCGTTATAGTCAAATATAGATAAACGTAACTTTAAGGGAAAAGCCAACCTTGATAACAAACTACTCTAGAAGATAGCAGAAAAATCAGAGAAGTGGACTGGTGAAAATGAAATGAAATCAGACAAAAATGAGAAAGTAATGCATCTTTTTACAGTTGTAATCACCATGGGTATGGCTCTTCAAATTGAATCAGTAATGTCTCTGTGATATAGCCGTAGACAACTTTCCAATTTTTTTAACACACAAAATGACTAAATTTCATTTTT